TGATAGCTATTCATAAAAGGTGTTTTTTTTTACTTTTCATATAATACAGTAGTCACACAATGAGGCAGTTCATATTTGTCTCAGTGAATCATTAATTTTTGACAGACACCTGTACAAAATACTTGGACTAAAGCCAGCTAAAAATTTCTGTTATCTTGCATGTTTTATGAATCTATTCACATCTAAATGCAGCACTTTTTTTCAATGAGACATTTGTTTTTATACTAAAATATCTGAATTACTTTGAAGAAAGCTGGAAATTATGTCCCTTAAAATAATTAAACAAATAAGGCACCAATGTTTTTGTAAGATATTTACAGCTTTTAAGGACATTCGGTAGACTGATTCCCCACACTGTTGGTTCAACCCCAAAACTTGTTTGTATTCAAAATTAATTATGACAATGCATATTTATATTGAAACAAACTATGATAAAGGGAATTATATTATATAACAAAGGGCAAGGTCACCAGAGTTCAACTATGTTTGTGTGATTTGTCACTCAAGATTTGTTAGTCTGTAAAATTAAATGAATGTGTGCAGAAAAAAATAATTTATGATTATGTTTTTGTTTAGATTTTTGATTTCAGTAATCATCATGTAAATCAAATAAAATGAAAGCATAAAAAACTGTTTTTGTTTGATATCAGTTGAAAATGCAGTAAATGGGTTACAATAAAAGTTGTACAAAAATTTGCTGTTTTTGATTTTCCAGCAAAGTTTCGCAACTGTACAACAAACTTTTTCACATTTCAAACCAATTTTTAAGATTTCCAACTAACTTTCATAACTGGCCAACCAAGTTTCACGAACTAACTTTTTCAACTTTACAAGCAACTTCTTTGACTTGGCTGGCAATGTTTACGAGTTTCAAAAAAACTTTCAAGACTGTTCAAATGAATTTCTGACTTTCCAATCAACTATCATGACTTGCCAAAATACCTTTTCAACTTTCCAGCCAAGTTTTCCTACATTCCAATATTTGCAAACTCTCAAGACTGTGCTCAACCAACTTTCAAAGACATTTTTGTCTTTTCAACAAACTTTTTTGATATTTTTTCCAACTTTTATAACTGTCCAACCAACATTATTGACTGTACTAAAGATTATTCCTACTTTCCAACCAATTGTTTTTGACTAACGCATCTCCCATGTGCATATTTTAGCATTTTAAGAAGTTGTACCGAGAGAAATAAAAAATATTTATAATATTGACATTATTTTTAATAGAAATAATAGTTTTCATAATCAGAAGTTACCATTGTGTGTTGGTTCACTGTTGTTCAATTTCCGAAACCTATCTTGTTTCACACCTGCAAACAAAAGTGCATCTTCCAACATTTGAAATAAAAGAGACCAATGTAATTTTGTTTTTGAATTAACGTCTTGCCAAGACTACACTTCATTTTATATTCCTTTAATTAGAGTTTTCCAAAATAGGCAAAGATTACAAAAATGTACTTGTTTGCAGCATGCAAACAATAGCTCAGTGATACAGTCAAATGTAGTGCGCCCTCATTTCTTGGGAGTTCGAATTTAACAATGTTATCCTGAATCAATGTTCACAGAATATTAATTCTGTCTTGTGAAAAGACAAGTTTTTGTTGGGAAAGTAAGCTGGAAAGCCGAAATATGAAGTTGCTTGGAAAGTTAGAGAAAGAAAAATCTGGTTGAAAAGTTGGGAGGTAATATACAAACATTGGTTCGAGAGTTGTTTAGAATGTTGCTTGAAATTCGTGAAAGTTGACTCAAAATTTGCAAAAGCTGAGTGCAATTTTGAAAACTTTGGAAAGTTGTAAAAGTACCGGTAGGTTGGAATGGCAAACAAGTTGGTTGTAAAATAAAAAAGTTGCTGAAAAGTCAAGAAAATGGAAAGTTGATGGAAGTTGTAAAAGTTTATTGGAAGTCATAAAATTGGGGTGAAAGTTGAAAAAATTTGGTTGGAA